TTCGGGACATATATATATTCATTTTTATTTTGTTTAAGATAATTTTGTTCAGATCAATACGGGTTGCACAATTGCAAAATTTATTCTCGCTTTGATATTGAGCTATATAATAGAAATAAAATGCAGTTAAAGTTCGATATAGCGAGTACGGCTTATTAAGAAAAGTGCGCTATTACGAGTTTCCAAGTCAATTCCAAAATGCTTACATTAAAGATACAAAAATTGCTTGTTTGAATCGAGTTAAAAATCACTAACTTTTCCGCGAAAAAAATGTTGTTCTTTTTTAATTTTTAACAATTTTATTTTATATTATTTTATAACCGTCGTTGAACAGCAGACCCAATTTCCGGGTTTACGACTACAAATGTTCAACCACGTAACCTTGTGATTTTGAACCAAATCCAGAAGACAAGGAAACTTCTGGTTCAATTACTGGAAGAAATTCGCCTTCGTGGAAGCCTTTTTGATGGAACTAATCCGCATTTGCGTTATATGGAGAGGTAGACCACGAGAATTTCCCACGGTTAACCTGACGACAACGAGTGTTACGCACTATCATGAGTGTGTATTACGATTGTTGAATGGTTATTTGTTTTGTATTGTATCATTCTATGTACATATCAAATTTCACTAAAATCTGTCCAGTAGTTTTAGAGATGATCAATCAAGTCTGCTAATTATCGTTATTTCTTACATTACACCAGTATTTCTTTTTCAGAGTTGGCTTGTTTTTCTCTTTTGAGTTTTTCTACGAAAGAAACAAAAAAAACATTGAATCTTTATGAGAGAACGAATAAATTTTTGACGAGACAATTTAATCGAAAATGTTTTGACAATACAATTGGCCTTGTTTCATTCGTTCGGACATTTTTCCTTTCTGAATTAGATTTGATTCTGTAAGGGATCCAATATAGCAGAAAATAATAGGCACCTCCGTTTGAGCGAGATATTTTATCTTAAATTAAATAATAGCGTACTTAATACTCAGCAAACAAAGCGATGAAGTGGAAGATAACATAGTTAACAAATCAAACATTTACCCGACAACAAACATTGTCTCTCGCTTCATCACTAGGCTTGATAACACAAGAGTTTTTAATGGTTCATGAAATAATAGGATCTTTTTAGAGGAGAGACAATCGTTAAAAAAAAAAGGACATTTATCAAGCTGTCCACACACGTTGTTCATCATAAAGGTTGATCAAACAATCAGTCCTGGATTTCGATTAAAATTTTACATTTACAGTCGGACCTCTATTTAACGTGGTCGCTAAATCCCGATAAAAGTTCCTTATATGAAAAATTCGTTAAATAGAATGCACCATTTGAAATACTTAAACGACACAAGACAAGTTTTAAATTAATAAACACTATAGGCATAATTAAAATTGCAATCGATGCATCTTTATCTTGTAAATTATTATCCACTATCGAATTGTTTTAAATGATTTTAACGTTTTATCATATGAAGGTTTAGGGATTTTTTTCGTCATTTCTGCCTTCGACTTCCTCACAATTTATTGCTGTATTGTATTTATTTTTCACACTGTTCAAAATATCCAATTCAGTTTATGTCTCTGTGGATGCAGCTTCAGAATATAATATTTTAAATCAAATTAAGTAATCTGTTAGGATCTATTTCTGTCACCATGGTTTTATTTGAATTTATTTATTAAATCTGAATTCATGTTAGTACGATTTTTTAATGTTGAATATGAACTATTCGCACTTGTAGTTTTTTTCATCAGACCAATCAGTGACATTCATGAATCATTCAATTTCTTGGAGAGAAAAATTCAAGAACTTGGACCGTGCAAACATAAGAGTTGACGAACATATAATATAAGGCCATAAGAGCCATAAGAGTTGACAAACATATAATTTTTAAAAGAGTAACTATGAGCCGTGCAGAGAGGGCAACACTAACCAATAACAACGGTCACTGCAGTACAATTTTTGCAACTTGTCTGTAATTAAATTTAATCTATAACAAAAAACATTATATGTATATTATTATTATCTTAAATCATTTCTTTATGATGCCATTTTTTTCTTGTAATGCTAAGTTTAATATTTTGGAATTGATATTAATTTGTAAAAATAAATTCATTTCGCTTATTACCTAAAATCAATTTGATTTTTAAACACATTTCTTTGGAAGGGAAGGTTGGGGTGGATTCAAAATTTTATCTACGCTAACAAATCGGTCATAAACTTGAACTTTTTATGCTTATAAACAGCCGAGTTTATAAATTCTGAGTTTATAAGTACAAAACTCCATGAGAAATGACCAAATAAATGACCGCATATCGCACAACAGAAAAATAATTCCTTAGTGTTGACCCCACACTTACCTTTACTGTTACCCACATTTATGTAAACAAAACCGTTTATTGTTTGTCTACTGTAAGAACTCCCCCCGTCACAAAGTTTGAGGCCGTTTGCTGCTGTGGAAACAAGAATAGTGCATTTCAGGGAGGGTAGCTTCTCTTCACTCTAGGGTTAACGCAATAGACAGAAGAAAAAGATTCCCTTTTTCTCTTCGACCCGAGACAAAACCTGTCCTTAACAATGAACCCCCAACCTAACTTGAAGTAGTTGTACCTCGTTACCATAATCACCGTCACGGATCCAGACAAATGGCTAGGGGAGTTCTTACTTTAGACAAACTATACTCACATTTATGTAAACAAACTCATTTACTTGTATTTTTTTATATTTATAATTATTTATTTTTGCATTTTCTGAAATTACCAGCAGATGGCAGCACGTATCATGAAAGGGTGAATCAATTTTTAAAAACGTTGTATTTCCTATTACTTTACAAATAGTTTAGATGTATGGCTACCAAATTAGATATTTTCTTGACTCAATGGAACTTTTTCTGATATAGTCTTGTGAATTCCTCATCTCTTACGAAGCACTGAATCAAGTTGCAGACGATCAATGTGACGAAGAATGCATTAGAACAAAGATGCTAAATGGCCTCAAACAAGTATGAATTTTTTTTTTATAGTTTTTTTCCTAGAAAACAAAGCTGCGGAATGGAGAACCTTGTCTTGCTTCGATGAACGAAAAATTACCACGTGACGGAAAGAACCAATTACGTACCACGTTCCAGGTGAAGCTTGCCTGAAAACAGAGTAGGAGAAACGGTGCTGCAATGAAAGAACAAAGCGACGGTGAAATCGTTATTCTGGACATGTCTCGAAATGCGTGTTTAAGAAAATAGACATGTTACTGAAACCGGTTGGCTTAAACTGTTGAATGTTAATAATCACATGGTCGCTTTGGTAAATGTCTATACGCCCTAGTATAAAAATATATACTAGGTCTAGTTAAGTGCCACAGCCCGGTATAACCTACAGTCATCACCTACATCAATGTTTTTTTTAGGGTTCAGAGCCGCTGCCCCGCATACATTTGCCCGGTATGTCCTACATCAATGTTTTTTTTTATGGTTAAGTGCTATTGCCCAGCCCGGGAGCTATTAAATCACGCAAACAACCGTAAGTATGAGTTCGGGACATTTTAGCAGAAGTATTAAAATTTATTTTCATCTCTGTCGTGAAATATGATTTAAAAATAAAAAAAAACTCACCCCAAATGCTGTATTACTTCTTCACTCACCCTTCGAGCTATATCTTAGGTATCGTATTATGTATTACTGTAAACCGAATATGTGGCCGAAATGGGTGGTTGTTGACTTCCACCGATGATTGTTAAGAATCACACAGTCACTTTGGTAAAAGTCTGAAATATATACTAGGTCTTGTTAAGTGTTACTGCCCGGTATGCCCCACATCAATGTTTTTTTTCATGTCAGGTGCCACTGCCCAGCATGCATTTAACTGGTCTTCGGAAGACTGATGTTCTCCTAATCTATCCTTAGCAGCTATTAAAATATCGAATAAATAAAATAATATCATCGAATAAATTAATATCTAATCGGATATGACAAATATTTCGGACATTCACCAAAGCGAGTATGTGATCTGAAGTAACTCCACTGAAGTAGCATGTTGTTCTTGTTGTTGTCGTACGCCATTAAGACAAGGTGTGCGATTGTTCTTGTCTTCCAGCGGCGCCATCCATGGTCAAGGATTCAACTTCTGCCACACCCATACGTCACACCCGTTTAAAGAGCGGATCCATTAATACATCCATCCACAAATCGTAATTTTGACCTGAACCAGAGAACGATCAAACTCCAATTCATTACACCCAGAGGTATAATTTGTTATGGGAACATGGAGGACGTTCTGACCCAACAGATTTAACGTGTACCGATGACCATTTACTACACGGGAAGTCTTCCGCCGGCTGTATTCGAACTCCCGTTCGCACTGACGAACGTGAGTCCAGCGCCCTGCCAACCAGGCTATCCCGGCCCCAATTTTATACCACTATTATAAATCTACAGCATCCGTGATAGCCTAGTAAAAGCAAGTATTGATCGTTTCAGAAAAAAGACTAATTTAAAAAAAAAATTAACTTAGGTAAATAGATGAACCACAATACGAATTTATTTGAATCCATCAGTTCATAAATGAAAAAAAAATGTTTCGTCAAATCAAAACATGATTAATAGTTATGTTATTCGACTAGTATTATTTGGGCACTCCACATAACTATCATTAAAATAATTTTCGATTAAACTTGGTTTCATTAAGTGAAAGTTGGAATCCAAATTTGATTTATGCAACGGAAATAACTAATTCTAAAAAAAGTTTTTTACGCTCATAATGAAAGTTCAGTTATCTGAAAATATTCAAATATTAGTGGCCATTTTTCAGAAGAAAAAAAAAGCACTGTTGTTGTTTCTATTGCCACATGCCAATGTTAGCAAGCCTGCTTGGGAAACCAAGCGAATTTTAAGGCAGAGGGAGCTTTTTTGCTTCCCAGTGGCGACACCTACGGATGTCACACACACATCGCAGCACGTTTTACAGGGCAGATTCATTCATACATCCACAGATCGTAAGTTTGACCTGAACCAGAGACCGACCAATCTCCGATTCAGTACCCTCGGAGGTATTGATATGTTAGGGAAACTTGAAGGACGTTGTGACCCCCGACAGATTTAACGTGCACTAGTCACATTTCATTTATTCTGCCGGCGAGATTTGAACTTCCGTTCTCACGAACACGAGTCCAACGTCTTACCAACCAGACAATCCAGGCCCAAAAAAATACTAATCTACAGAACTAGAGTCGCGATGGCTAAGGAGATGGAGCATTCGCCTTCCATTGAAGCGAACCGGGTTCGCATCCCAGTCGATACAAATTTCGCATCCACCTCACACCGACCACAGTGCTGACGCAAAATATCCTCTGTGGTTGACGGATCATGGGTTGGAGTCCCTTTGCTGTCAGGCTGACCATGGGAGGTTTTCGTGACTTTCTTCTCCATGTAACGCAAATGCGGGTTAGATCTATCAAAAAGTAAATTCCACGAAGGCAAATTCCACACAGTACTCGATCCAGGAGTTCCCTTGTCTCCTGATTTGCGTTCAAAATGACAAGGCTACGGAGGTGAACATTAGTAGTCGTAAACCCAAAATTGAGTCAATTGTTCAACGACGGTTATAAAATCTAGAGAACTGCAATCAAAAGCCCATTTTTGCATTCTTCGTCTCTCCTGTAAAATTTGTTTGAAACCGTTTTTTAAATAAAGATGAAAACTTTCTTTAGGCGGAGAGTGTAGTAGAGAAGGAGCTGCAGACGTTGGCCCAAGATCCTGAGCGTCGCCTGAAAGCCGACATGAAGACGTTTAACACGAAGCATTTGATCACCTGTAGAGCTGGATTTCATCTTGTCAAAGCTCATTACAAAAGATGCTGTAAGTTCATTCACAATTGTATATTTGGGATCGAAGTCCAACAATGGAGGGTTGATATAAAGTTAAATTTGGGGAACAGAATAATCCTCCTTCAAGCGAGGAAATTTCTGAGGTCAAGCGTTTTGAACACAGAAGGAAAACACAAAAGTATTTTACTCAAAATTTTATGACAGGACTAAAAGCATGCATTTTTTTTTGTTTCGGGAAAGTTTACATTTTTAATTTAATCTTAAAATTAACTCGCTGCAGAAAAAGTCAAAGCAAAAAAACAAAAAANAAAAAAAAAAAAAAAAAAAAAAAAAAAAAAAAAAAAGAGGTACAAGGAAGTTGGCGATTTTCTTATAGAGGAATGAGAGGGTTCTGTGATTAACTTATTTTCTTGGCCAGGAGGTCCAAAATTGCTAAAAATGTGCATACTTATTATTTGAATGACATACGTATTCTCTCTTCATATCCAATTTCTTCTAAAGTAAAACAAATCAAATAATTTAAAATCAAGATTATCTCTAAACGAATTGCCCTTCCCATTTTTCTGAAAACATATATTTTCAAACCATTTTGGTTGTTATTGTTGTTTCTAATGCTACTTGCCACACAGGCAAGCCTGCTTGGTTAAACCGAGCAAATTTATGGCAGAGTGTGCGTTTCTTGTTTTTCAGTGGCGCCATCTATGGCCAAGAATTCGACTTCTGCCACACCATACGTCGCACCCGTTTATAGGGCGAACCCATTCATTCATCCACAGATCGTAATTTTGACCTGAATCAGAGAACGATCGATCTCCAATCCAGTACCCCCGGAGGTATTGATTTGTTATGGGAACATAGAGGACTTTTCGACTCAACAGATTTGACGTGCATTAGTCACTTCACAACATGGGGAGTCTTCGGCCGCCGAGGTCCGAACCCACGAACTCTCGGACATAAGCCCAGCGGCCAACCGACCAGGCTATCCCGGCCTATAACCATTTTGGTATACTCCATTAGTTTACCTTCGTGCTTTTTAAAAAGGTTCAACGTTAGAAATAATTTTTTTAATGTAATGTTTTTATACTTATAATGTTCTGCTTAGGTCTCTAAGACTACCCTCTAAGTATCTCTCTCTCTCTATTCAATAATTCTAGGCCCAGACCCAAACCTAATCGGTCTTTGTCGGTAGTCGGGTCTTGCCTGTATTTTGTATGTCTTTACAGTGTTTGTAAATAGAATATCATGGTTTCCCCACTTTTCCCTTCTCTGTTACCATGGTTTCGACTGATGGATCAGGGGATAGAGCGTTCGCTTTCCATGAGGTGAACCGGGTTCGAATCCCAGCAATGGCTGGTCTGTACGAATTCCGCATCCGGCTTGCACCGACCACAGTGCTGACGTGAAATATCCTCAGTGGTAGACGAATCATGGGTTAGAATTCCCTTGCCGCCAGGCCAACCGTGGGAGGTTTTCGTGGTTTCCCTCTCCATGTAAGGCACATGCGGTTACAATTAAAGCAAACTGGTTAGTTCCATCAAAAGGTCCTCCACGAAGACAAAATTTCTCCCAATACTTGATCCAGGAGTTCCCTTGTCATCTGGATGGGGTTCAAAACTACAAGGCCTCCACGAACATTAGCAGTCGTAAACCCAAAAAACTGGATCGGCTGTTATAAAATGAAAAAATCTTGCTTTTTCACCACGGCAGTTTACATTTCAATAAGAAGTTGTAAGTACTTGCATGGAGAAAAATCAAAATTTGCAGAAACCATGATAACGGAGTGGGAAAAGTGGGAATATTGAAGAAATAGCGAGCCATAAATTCTATTTACAAAAAGTATAAAAATATCATTGATTTCCGTTAAGTGTTTTAATAGTGTTTTTATGTTCACCAAGTTCCTTGTATGCCTGGCTACTACAGTGAGCCCAACACAGTGGAGTGCAGCATGTGCGATGTCGGCTACTACCAAGAGAGTTATGGAAAGAAGGATTGTGATAAGTGTGATGAAGGCAAAACCACAGACTCAAAAGGTTCCAAGTCAAGAGATGATTGCATTGGTGCCGAAGACAGTAAGTGTTGCTTTCGTTTACTGCTCTGCTTGAGGTCTAACAAAAGAATTCCCGATACAAAGTCTAGATTGCTTTATACAATATACATATTGCTTTGGCAATATTGATACAATATTAGAAGGCACTCCTTTTTGAAGATATAATTGTGTGAGCTGATGAAGAAATTCTATATTTTCATTTTCTGTTTTCCAGCTTTTTAATTTAAACTTTTCAAAAATATTTTATTTTAATAACTTTTTTTCTTTTCATTGTGGAAAATAATAAAGATTAATGAAAAGAGAAGAAGAAAAATTATTAAAATAAAATATTTAAAATACAATTTTTTAATATATATATATTAAAAAGCCGGAAAACAGAAAAATGAAAAGATGTAATCTCTTCATCAGCTCACACGATTATATCCGCAAAAAGGAGTGCTTTCTAATATTGTATCAATATACCCAAAGCAAAATATATCAATACAAAAGTGTGAGAAGCACTCAAAAAAATTTTTTTTTTGCAAAAGATAACAAGATTTCTCCTACTTCTGAACATAATAAGCATCGCTTGCCATGCCGTGGATTCAATTTCTGTAGACGTAGAAAGGAAAAACCTCCTCACACTCTTAAGAACCGTTTTTTGTTTATATTCAGAGCAAAGATGAGGCTTTAATGAGGAAAATATTTACGCTCGGGTTCTAATTTCGGTTAGTTTAGCTAAGACACAAAATGAAAATTTGTCTAGTTGTACCTAGTTGTGCTACTCTCATCCGTAACTCGGGGCCTTGTGCTTATAACTCAGCTATTGCTTGGACCTCCTGTGCTAATGTAGATCTTGTTATGACGACGAGGCATGAAGAAATTGCGTGTGGACTCTTAAGAGCCGGAGTTTTCGTACACACCTGATCTCAATATTTGTAAATCAATTGTTTTGAAGTTTTACGTGACAACAAACTTTTTTACAATTAAAAGAAAAATACACAATTGAAAATTTAGGTAATGCAATTTTTTAAGCACATAGAAATTTGACAAAAATCAGAAAAAAAAAGGCGCCATTCACAGTGCATCCGATCCCTTTAGACACCCTTGCAAATGTTTAACACAGTGGTCAGGAAAACTACATTATTTTTGTAGTTTACTACAACTAAAACTACTTTGATACAAATGCAGTTAACTACAATTATAACTAATTTTTCAAATGTAGTGACTACAAACTACTTTGGAATTTAGTAACTGTTTCAGTACGTTAAGAAGACGAACTTCGCTGGAGAACTTAATTTACACTTATGTTTAAAATGGTTTTGAATTAAAAAAATTAGCTTACATTAAGCATAAGGGAAAAAAGTAAACAAATATTTATTCATGTTTATATGAGCCAGTTTGTTATTCCATTCGAATTCGTTCATTTTGCCTTTTTTGACAGATATTTATAAGAAATGCGAAATTAACAAATAGTTGCAATTTTTTAAATGTTGAATGCTCTCTTATTTTTTTTAAGACATCAAGTAAATCGAAAATACGTTCCATTTCTTTGAAATAACATCAATATTTCACAAGTGTGCATTCGCGTTTGAAAGTGTAACCGAAGTGATTAATTATCTATTCTTCGAAATGGCTAGTTTATATAATACAGTAGGGAACCGATTATCCGGAACGATCGGGACCATCGCTATTCCGGATAACTGACTTTTCCGGTTTTCTGAATCGCTACAAAAAGCCGTTTTTTTTATTGTTAAACCCAACTAGAAAAAATTTTTTGAATAATCTTAAAAAGAAGAAAAAACGATGAAGTAATACACTAATGATTATTTCCAAAATGATGGTAAGGTAAACATCTCTCAAAAAAGAAAGAAAAATCCTAAAATCTTACGAGGAAAAAAAAAAAAATTTTTTTTAAAAATGGCGAGAAAATTTATCGAATTTCATTCCGGTTTTTTGGTTTTCCGATTTCCGGATAACGGGTTCTGTACTGTAGTTATACTCGATTTTAAATACGTTATTTCTGTTAATTGTATCCATTCAGGGCCGGATTAAGGGCTCTAGGCCATTCAAATTTTGGGGGCCCTTAGATTAAATTTTTTTTTCTCGTATATTTTTTATTTATTCAAATATAAAGTATTTATATATCTTTTCATTTAAGAAAGCATATTTAAAATTAACATAAATATTAAATTAAATTTCACTTTATTTTGTTAAATTAGAACTAAAAAAATTATTGTATTTTATTAATATACATTTGAAATGTAATTTTTTTTTTAAATCATTGTTTTTCTCAATTTTTTTAAAATTTATTTTCAAAAAAATTTTTTTTAAGGGGGCCCCAGGCCATGGCATAATGGGTAATCCAGCCCTGTATCCATTAATGGACTTGCGAAGATTTGCACCCATCAAATTCGAAAAAGTAGTTCGTATTTCTTTTCTAAACTAGTTTTTTAAAGTAGTTGTCAAAAACCGCTACAAACTATTGTTCTTTGTATCGCACTACTCACTATACTACTTTTTTAAAAAAAAAAAGGTAGAGCACTGCACTACAAACTACGAAAAAAAGTAGCGACTACAGTAGTCTCACTACTTGCAGTGCGCTACATCCAACCACTGGTTTAGCAGCTAAATGTAAGATTAACTAATTACGCATGCGCAAATCGTTCCAAAAGAGCAAAATTTGGCTTATATAAGGTAAAGAATAATTTATCTGAAGGATCGAAAAATAAAACATTTTGTAACAAATTTAATGTAAAAAACAAATTTAAATAAATATTTACTTAAAATAATGTTTCATATTAACATAGTAGGCAATACTTAAGAGGACTCTACACCACAAAAGAGAACATGGCAAATAATTTAAAATATAGAGAAAGAGTTTAATTGAATCTAGATTTAATTATAAAATTTCAAATTCTCTTTCATGGCTAGTTATTTAAAATATAAAGAAAATGAGTTCAGGCAACCCTAGATTTAATTATATAATTTAAAATGAAAAAAAAATTCAAAATTATTGCAGGATTACGCACTTGGAAAGTAATCCTGCATTCGTTATTTTGTAAACTTTTTCATAATTTGAAACTTCATGGGTTACTCTTACAGGGATCTGTCCAGGCCGAATTTGCTACCGTTTAACGGTACCTTCACAAATTTAACTTTAGGAAAAAAAATACTTTTTCCCAAAATTTTATTTTTGCATCCCTTAAGAAACGATAAATCTATATTTTTGTGTTGATTTTTTAACATAAT